CTTTCTTTTTCTATTTCTCATATAAACTAACATCAGTGTTAAAGACAAAGCAAAATGGCTTACCTATTATGAGAGGACTTTGTATTGTGAGCATGAATATAGCAAGCCATGATGCACACTCCATGATGTTCCTGTCAGGTTCACACAGCAAATGACATGAAAACAGAGCAGGGCCACATATTTATAGAATAAGGTTAACAAGAGGAAGTGACTGGACAAATACATAAAATAACATCAAATACTTTTTATGAAAAAGTCACTTGAATTGTCTTCATACAATCAATTTTCGGAATGACAAAAACATGCATTTAACAACAATTAAAATAATTCAAATATTCAAATATGAAAACTACAAGAACAAGATTGGGCCATTGGGCGTTGGCTAAAAAAATGAAGACTCATGCTGTGAGGAAATGAAATTCACACATATAAGTACAGTTGAAGTCAGAATTAGCTCCCCTTTGCTTTTATTTATTTATTTATTTTTGTTTTAAAATATTTCTCAAATTATTTTTAACAGAGCAAGGATATTTTCACAATATGTCTGATAATGTTTTTTTCTTCTAGAGAAAGTATTATTTGTTTTATTTTGGCTAGAATAAAAGCTGTTTTCATTTATTTAATTTTAGTTATTTTTTTAAGGTCTAAATTATTAGGCCCTTTAAGCTATATTTTTCCCCCAATAGTCTACAGAACAAACCATTGTTATACAAGAACTTGCCTAATAACCCTAACCTGCCTAGTTAACCTAATTAACCAAGATAAGCCTTTAAATGTCAGCTGTATAGAAGTGTCTTGAGAAATATCTAGTAAAATATTATGTACTGTCATCATGGCAAAGATAAAATAAATCAGTTATTAGAAATGAGTCATTAAAACTATTAGGCTATGTTTAGAAATGTTTTGAAAAAAATCTTCTCTCCATTAAACAGAAATTGGGGGAAAAATAAACAGGGGGGCTAATAATTCTGACTTCAACTGTAGGTCAAATAAAAAAATATAAAAAAAAGAGTTGCAAGGTTTCTGCCAATGTTTTATACTTCCACTTTTAATGTTTCTATTAATTCAATTACCATAAATTGTTATGTCATAACCCAAGAAAATCTGAAAAAAGGGAATTAAATAGAGAAGTAAGCAAAGTTACTTTAAGCACATCACTACATTTTTAGCTTCATTTTTAGCCAACAAGAAATAATACTAGTAACTTATAGCAAAATATGTAGTGTTTCTGAACTATAGTACAATAGTAAAGCATTTATCCTGACTTGTAAGTCACTATAGATAAAAGCATCTAATAAATGGATAAATGTATTCATTCATTAGTTTTCTTTTCCATTTAGTCCCTTTATTAATCTGTGGTCGCCTATTCATACTCACCTATTCACAAACATACTACGAACAATTTAGCCTACCCAGTTCACCTATAGCGCATGTTTTTGGACTTGTGGGAGAAACCCGGAGCACCCGGAGGAAACCCACGCAAACACGGGGAGAACATGCAAACGCCACACAGAAATGTCAACTGACCCAGCTAAGGCTCGAACCAGCGACATTCTTGCTGTGAAGAGAGAATGTGCTACCCGCTGCAGCATTGTGCAGACCTAAAAAAATGTAAATGTATTTAAATTTAAATTAATCTGATGTGGTAATTCTAAAGTTTTTAACAAATTAGCCAATACTTTATTACAAAACACACCACAGTGAAAATGTAAGGAAATGTAAGTGAATACTCAGAACTCTTATCTTGTTTATGCTCTTTTGACAGAAACTTTCTGTTGGCCATTCCACAGCTTCTGTATGTGGTTACAGTCTGGGCTTTGACTAGGCCACACTAAAAGGCCCATTTTGTTGGCCCCATTTGTAATATTAAGGCATGTATTGTGTCTGAGATTGCATGTCTGCATGTCTCAGCTTGCATATGCAAGTCTGCATTCAGATACTGCTAAAAACCGTATAGCAGATGTTCTGAATTGTGCTCAGACAATCCCACAATACACCAACATAACAAGTGTACTGATGTACATTCAACAGCTAGGTTGGATAAATCTCTTTGCACATCTGATTGTGAGATGGCACCCACTGCATAAGTCATAGTATTTAAATAAATGTATTTAATGGTTAAATTGACATTTGTATATAAAATACTTTATTTCATCACTAATAGTCAGTTCATTAAGTGTTCAATAACTATCACAGGGTCAGACCAAGGGTTTGAAAATCTAATGTCCAATTTATCAACCAGCAAAGCACAAAAAGTTTTGTGTTTACATTTTTGTTGAGTGTATAATAATATCTAAATCTAATGTGTGAAAATGTGACTGTATTGTGTGTCCTTCCACATTAGTTTGTGTGAGCAAAATTTGAATATGTACTGTTGACATCACTTGCATTTACACAGATTTTAGTCAAAACTAATTTAATAAGAACATTTTGCCATGTCTTGACAAATTTAAAACAACTTTTTAAAATGACATGGTAACAATATGAAAAATACAGTCTTAATATATTGTATTTGAGATGTTTTTTTGTGTGTGTGTGTGTGTGTGTGTTCTCTTTTGATGACATGCAGGAAATACACAGCGATGTTTAGTTCTGCATATGTAATGGTTGCATGCATTGAGAAAAAAATGGTGCACCATCAAAACTGCTATGATGAAATCTTGCAAAATACCCTTTGTTGCAATCAAACAATTTCCAGAAAGGTTTACCAAAATGTTCCTGTGAACGAGGAGAATTTGCAACTTATGTGTTATATTATAATCAGCATTATTTTAAATAGCAAAACTGAATAGTTACCAAGAGGTCTTGTTTTAAATTTATTCTTTTCTTAAAAAGTTGTTGTATTATTTATGTATTTGGTCCAATTTATAGTGCATGAGTTCCGTACCTTTATTATTTACATTTATTTACACTGTTATCAAACTATCATATACCGTTCTAATGAATAACAACTTAATATATACACATTCACCAGCCACTGTATTAGTTTGACTCCTCATTAATTATTTGATCAGCCAATCAAATGGCAGCCACCTAATGTTTGTTTCTTTCTGTCTTGGTAATGATGAGGGTAAGTAATAAGAGTATTTTATGTAATTAAATCTGCTTTTGCATTAGTAAGGTTTCGAATGCTTAGTTCAGTTGTTTCGAACCTTTGAAAAGCTCAGTATCTACAGCCTGATCTCATGAGGAAGTATTTTTAAGTTTTTCAGTTTAGTGGGTAATTCGTACAAATTCGTACGAGTTCAGTCGTACAATTTTATAAAGGAGGCATGGCACCCAATCCCATCCCTAACCCCAACCGTCATTGGGTGATGAGCAAATCGTACTAAATTGTATGAATTAGATCGTACAAATTGATACGAATTAGCCACTAAATCAAAAAGTTACGAATTGCTGTAAGATTTTGTTGGTATCTCTCATCATCATCAGGTATGAAAAGTCTTTAGAACATAGGTCTCAAACTCAGTTCATGGAGGGCCACAGCTCTGCACAGTTTTGTTCCAAATCTAATCAAAAACAGCTGATCCAACTAATCAAGGTGATCAAGACTACTCTGGGGACTATTAAGCAGGTGTGAGTTGGAGGTGGTTGAAGCTAAACTGTGCAGAGCTGCAGCCCTCCAGGAGTTGCATTTGAGACCATTGCTCTAGATCAGTGTTTCTCAACTGGTGGGCCGCGACCTAAAAGTGGGTCGCAGAAACTTTTTCAGTGGGTTGCAGAGTTTGGTCAAAAACAGCAAAAGTATCATTTTTAACTTATTTTGCTTATACCGAGCTTTTATTTTGAAATGCGCGTGCGACAACTGTCCCGTTTCACATGTGAAATTTTGTTTAATTATCACAACAAATATGTCGAAGCGCAAGTATGACCCCGAATATGTATTTATGGATGTAAGTATGGATTTACATATATTAACATATAACATATATTAACAACAAAAAAGGCCTAAAACCTCAGTGTGTCATATGTAGTGAGGTGCTCTTAGAAGAGAGCATGAAGCCTTCTAAATTAAAATGAGATTTAGAAATCAAACATCCCAGTTGCAAGGACAAACTTGTGGACTATTTTCAAAGACAACACTAATAGCTGAGGGCATCACAAAAGTTCCTAACACCTTCATGTTTAAAACAAGTACAGGCACTCTGTGCTTACTGTGTAGTTCACGATAGCAAAAGCCAAGAAAGCCGACACAATAGCAGAAGAGCAAATAACTGGTGATTATTACAAAAATGGTCATGATTATTTTAATAATTTTACTGTAACTTGCTGGTTTGTTCTGTTCAACAGGATCAGTGTTAATGTTTTGTAAACAGTTCAGTTTAGTTCATAGTAACTGAACCTTTCCTTGCCCTAACCACTGTTTACAGTATTTGAGGTTTTTACTTTGCAATATTTGCAATATATGCAATATTACTTTACTTTGCAATATTTAAAAGTATGTTAACAAATAAATTCTAATTAATTATAATTGCACCCGTCAAAATGAAATGCAAAGAACACCTGCAATCCCATTGCTTTCCCATTCCACAGATCAATATCGTGCCTTAAACAGACCAGCAAACAAACTATATTCAGACACTAGTCTAAATTCTGACTGATTCAGTGTGTTTATCTGAACAAACCAACTGGTCCCAGACCCCCTAAACAGAACTATATGATCCATCGAAATCTCTTTTTTCGGAACATTCTTTCACACTTCATGGAATGCACTGTATATGAACAAATAAATATAATATCAAGAATTTTTTATTTAATCATGATTTGACATAAACATTTTCTTGTTTCTTTCACACCGATTTTTATCTTTAAAATTATATTTCCCATAAACATTTGAATTAAATCTTGGCAAACAGCAACTTCACTTGTGCCAAACAAAATCTAAATAAATAACACACTGCAATAATGACACAAACACAAATTTCTCTAAATTCTCTTTATTTGGCTTGAGGTTAAACATTGACTACTGAATGTAATAAAATCCTCTTTCTGGCGCCACTATAAAAATGACCCCCAGACTGTTTGCTTCTGTGTTTTTGTGCCTCATCTGAAGTCTTGACCAGCATGGAGTGTGGGCAGCGGTTAAAGTGGTTAATACTTGCACTGATATGTCCTCTCATTGCAGGTAGGTCTTATTTACCTAATCAAGATAAATGCATTCTGAAATATAGACCTCCTCCAATTTTAATAATCTGTTCATAGGTGCTCCATCCAGAGATAGTTCATGTCCCGAAGAAAATCTGAACATTACAGGAGGGAGTTTTACTCTTTCTAATGGCTATTCAGATGGGAGTTATCTGACATACATTTGTCCGGATGGATATTACCCATCTATTCCAACACGTCGTTGTCAGTTTGGACTTTGGACCCCAAATACCAGCACCAGAAAAAAAGCTGAGTGCAAAAGTAAGAAATAGAGCTTCACTTTGTATCATTATATCATGAATAAATGCTAGATCTGTTTAATGCTTTTATTATACTTTTCTACTATGTTTGTTCATGCTTTTATTTTAGAAATCACATGTCCTACTCCTCGTGTTTTGGAGAACGGAGAGGTGGCTCCATATCAAGAGAGGTACTATATAAATGAGGTAACCACTTATTCGTGTAATCCTGATTATAAATTCCGAGGCTCGAAGGTCCGGGTTTGCCAGTCTAATGGGAAGTGGAATGGAAGCACGCCAATCTGTGAACGTGACTGTGAGTCACTATTCATTTCAGTGTGTAAAAACATCCCATCGAGCTGTGTTTAAAAAAAGTTGTGCTTTTGTGTTTTAAAAAGTCTAATAGACATCTAATACCTCTAAACATAGATTTCTTGACTAAATAAGGCGAAATTTGAGCTGTCAGACAATAAAGTTTTAAAGCAATAATCAGATAATGCTATCAAATAAATGACTACACGTAGATTTTTACAGTTATACCAAATTTAGTCTTGTTTTAACCAAGACACCTATGTTTAAACATCTATAGATGTCTTATAGACACCTTTTAATCACAAAATTCCTAGGTGGGACATTATGTGCAACATTATTTAGTTATTTAATAAGTTGCATCTGTTGATTCAAATGTCGATCCACAAATCTTTACTTCCACTTGTGTATTTGTTTCTGTCTCACAGCTGATCACTGTCCTGATCCTGGCGTTCCCCCTGGTAGCAGTCGAACAGGCAGCACATTTAACATTGATGATGAAGTCACGTACCACTGTGATAGTCCATTGACCCTGATTGGTTCCAAAGTGCGTAAGTGTCAGGATGGTGGCCAGTGGTCAGGAACAGAGCCACAGTGCTACGGTGAGTAACTGCTACACTGAAGTTACAAAATCATATATAGACTTCTGGAAAAAAAGGACATTGAGCTTATAACACTTTTAATGTTGTGGTGTGATTACTGTACAGCTGATTTCACATACGACACTGCAGCAGAAGTAGCTAAAGCTTTCGGCAATTCTCTGAAGACAATGCTCACAGTTCAACAAGAGTCTGAAGACGGTATATTTAATCACAGATGCATTGTCACTAATAACTTTAATGCTAATAATGCTATTTTAGCATAGTCAAACACAAATGCTGTGCTCCTTCTTTCTTCAGATCACCATGGGAAGAAAATTTATTTGAATAAGGGTGGAAAACTTGATATCTACATTGCTGTGGATGTGTCTGACAGCATAAATGATTTGAAAAAAGCAAAACAAATTATTAAAACGCTCCTAGAAAAGGTAAGTTATCAAATAATTTGAGTGAACACGACTCAAGTAGTTCTTCTGTCACTTTTTCAGCACACAGCACACTTATTTAGTTACAGTTTGAAGATAACAATTAATTTATAATTGAATAGCTTGGTTTAACATAAAAAGTTCATACTTAGTGATTTACATGTGCTTAACTGTTTATACAATATATTGTCCACAACATATTCAAAAAGCATTTAGCATTAGTGTCCCACAATCCACAGCATACTTGTATTAAATTCTATAACAGCCACTGTTTACAGTCCAGTCAACTTCCAGGAAATAAAATCATGTCCTAATGTAAATTTAGCCAGTTTTCAGTGAAAAGCCTGTTCCTGATTATAAAGTGAAATAAATTGCATGTTTCTTGTGAAATTAAACTATCTCAGTATGAGACAAGGATTCTGAATGTATTCATACTTTTGGACATCATTTTTCCAACTCTAAATGTTGTAACTCTTTCTCCAAAGATAAGTTATTATGAGGTTTCTCCAAGCTATGAGATCCTGATGTTTGCTACAGATGTTTATCAGATAGTTAAGATGAGGGACTTCAAAACTGAGGAAGTTGCAGGAAGCCTATCTAAAGTTTTTGAGGATTTGGACAAATTTGATTTTGACAGTAAGTATTCTAACTAAGGATACTGTTTGCATGCCTTGAGTCTTGTCTTAAGTCTTTTTGCGTACAGTGATCCACTGCCACCTGAACATTACTGCTCAGTGTGCACCAAATAAGAAAACCAAAATAGAAATATGACATATGGCATAATATGCAAATCACATAATTATCATACAAGTTAATGTTTAGGACTTCACATAAAATATTTATATATGTACACACACTACAGGTCAAAACTGAGGTCATTTTTTTAAAGAAAATTATTTAAAGAAAAATTATCGGCGGTTCATTCTGCTGTGGTGACCACTTGTTAATAAAGAGACCAAGCCAAAAAGAAAATGAATGAATGAATGAATGAATAATAATAATACTTAATATTAGAATGATTTCTGAAGGATCATGTGACTCTGAAGAGTGGAATAATGAAGCTGAAAATTCATTATTAAATAAATGATAAACTACTTTGTACAGTTATTTTACAGTGCAATAACATTTCAGAATTTTACAATTTGTTCTGTATTTTTGATTAAATAAATGCAGCCTTGGTGAGCAAGAGAAGCTTATTTTAAAACATTTAAAAATCCTACTGACCCCAAACTTTTGACTTTTGAAAAGTCCCAGTAGTAAGACCAACAAATAATATCTTGACTTCTAGTTGATCATTTAGAAAGGTGATCAACAACACTTTCTTTGCCATTCCAGATGACTTTATTAATAAGTTATTTAAGTCATTGCAGAGATGTATGGATGCAGTCCTCCAAGCTCATGGGAGTCATACACAATATTAGTTCTTTTTCCACTTCACCATGACTTTATATTCTATACTGTACATTATTTATGTTAAGTGAAAAAACTTTTGTCCAAGCAAAGTCAGATCTTACTGTCCTAATTGAATAATTAAAAATCAAGGCAAGATCATATTTATTTTGATATAATAAACGTATCCTAGAGGCATTTGTCTTTCATATTAACCACTTCTGATGCCAATCGATCATCTACAAGTCAAGTTATTATTTGTTGTTGCTACAACTTGGATAGGTGACAAAACTTTTGTCAGGTAGTGTATTGTTAATGTTACTGGAAAATAGTTCACACCTGAGGAGTAAAAGCCACTGCATTAGGTGTATATTATTTTCTAATAATTCAACCACCCATTGTCAATTATTCATTACATTTGATTTTGATGGCCAATCATGACAGCTTGATGCACACCAAAGGTATGTCTCGAAATAAAACATCTGAACATTGTCAGGTGTGATATTGTAGTATAAGTGACTCTGAAACATTGAAACATTGGAAAATAATGCACACGCAAAATGTAAACACCCACTTAAGTATGCAATATTTACTAATAATTCAATGGCTCATTGTTAATTATTTCTTTCATAAATGTTGTAGTTTCAGTTTATTTACTTATTCAAAAAATGTTTTATTTATTTCATTCTAATTTTAAAAATTCAGTTTATTTCTTTTTTCCAACAGAAAAATTGGATCAAAAAAGCAGTAATATTGCCAAACTTTATCAGACCATTTTAGACAGCATGTCTAACGAGCAAATCAGGAATAAAGAAGACTTTCTTCAGACCAAACACGTTGTCATCGTGTTTACTGATGGTAATGACTTTGTACTTGCATATAATCAACACCAATCAGACCTTTCCTTTTCTGTTGTATATATTGTGCAAAAACTCCATGACATTAATTAAAGAGTTTGATCAGAACGACTAATTGAATACATAAACAAAACCTCCAGTGTATTAAAAACATTACATATTAGAACTGAGATAACTGATCTGTCATTGACTTCTTTTTACTTTATAGGCCAAGCTAACATGGGAGGGAATCCCAAACCTAAAGTGCACCTAATAAGGAATCTTGTCTTAAAAAATGATGCAAATCGAGAGAATAAACTTGGTGAGCAAGTACATTTATGTGTATATTATATATTTCATAAAGATAACAATGTGTCCTGTCTTGTCAGATCTTTATGTATTTGGAGTTGGAAAGGATGTAAGGACAGAAGACCTGAATGGCTTAGTGTCAGAGAAGGAGAATGAAAGACATTTCTTTAAACTTCAAGACTTGGACGAGGTGCAGAAGACGTTTGACAGCTTGGTAATAAATTTATAATTTAACCAGATTTCTGTAAATAATTCTACCAATGATTGAAAACAAAGTCCCAAACATATTATAGCCTTTGGTGCAGATTCTTTGTTTTACAAATGCCCAGCGAATCCCATGTTGTAGGGTAAACTTTGTGAATAATTGCAACAGAGAAATCCTGGGAGATTTCTGTAGACTTAAGCCATTTAATGCTGTTCAGCCTTATAATCTTAAAATGTGATCAAAATCATATGTTTAGTCATCTAGACATTACAATACTCTACTGTGTTTCCTAACCCTGTTCCTGGAGGCACATTAACAGTACACATTTTCAACTTTTTACTAATCAAAGACAACAAAACAACTCATCAGAACAAAAGAAGAGACTCCAAAACCTGAAGTCAATGGGTCAGATAAAGGAGACGTCTAAAATATGTACTGTTGGTGTGCCTCCAGGAACAGGGTTGGGAAACACTGCTCTACGTTATGCAAGAGAATTACTAGTCCTAAATTGACATTTGTGAGCTGTTTCCTTTGTTCTGATGGTCAGCTACAGATGTAAAGTTATGGCAGAAGAAAAAAGTTCCTCAGTCAAAAGGGTTTTGAGACTCTTCATACTTGATTTTATTTTTTATATACACGATTATGCTGTCAAACTGTTATTTAAATGCAATTGTAGCACTGTGATATGGCTGTATATTGGCACTGCCATATTGCAATGCCACTTATATACAGTTGAATTCAGAATTATTAGCCCCCCTATTTATTTTTTCCCCAAATTTTGTTTAAAAGAGAGAAGTTTTTTTTCAACGCGTTTCTAAACATAATAATTTTAAAAACTAATTTCCAATAACTGATTTATTTTATCTTTGCCATGATGACAGTTAATAATATTTGACTAGATATTTTTTCAAAACACTTCAATACAGCTTTTAGTGTCACTTAAAGGCTTAACTAGGGTATTTAGGTTAACTAGACAGGGTAATTGGGCAAGTTATTGCATAATGATGGTTTGTTCTGTAGACTATCAAAAACAAATACAGCTGAAAGGGGCAAATAATTTTGTATGTAAAATGTTTGTCACAAAATAAAAAAACTGCTTTTGTTCTAGCCGAAATAAACAAGTAAGACTTTCTTCAGAAAAAAAAAAGAAAAAGAAAAAAAAAATATATATATATATATATATATATATATATATATATATATATATATATATATATACAGTATATATATATATATATCATCAGACATACTGTGAAAATATCCTTGCTCTGTTAAACATCATTTGGAAAATATTTAAAAAAGAAAAAAATTAAAAGGGAGGCTAATAATTCTGACTTAAACTGTATATCGATATTGCTCATATACAGTATATGAGCTCATGACAATTTCTCACACACTTCTTTCATCCTTGATTTGTTTCAGATGAATGATCAGTGAGTGGCGTGACCTTATGGAGGCCAGGCATGAGTACTGGAATGTTTTGTTCATCTTCTGTTCCTATTTTTAACATTAGTTGTGTCACATTGTAAACAAAAAGTGTTTATATATTACAAGATGTGTTTACAATGAATGACGGTGAATATAAAAATATTTTTCTGCTTTGACTCAAATTTTTAAAACTTTTTATCATATATTCCTACAGGTGATTTTAAAAATAACAATAACAACTTGTTAATTTCACATTCTGATTCTTTTTTCTATAGTCTCATTCATTCATTCATTTTCTTTTCGGCTTAGTCCCTTTATTAATCTGGGGTCGCCACAGCAGAATGATCCGCCAACTTATACAGCATATGTTTTTACACACTGGATGCCCTTTCAGCTGCAACCCTGGGAAACATCCATACACACTCATACACTACTGACAACTTAGCTTACCCAATTCACCTGTACTGCATGTCTTTGACTGTGGTGGAAGCCAGAGCAGCCGGAGGAAACCGGAGCAGCCAGAGGAAACCCATGTGAACACAGGGAGAACATGCAAACTCCACACACAAACGCCAGTTGAGCTGAGGATCGAACCAGCGACCCAGCGACCTTCTTTATGTGAGGTAACAGCACTACCTACTGCGCCACTGCGTTGCCAATTTAGCAAATTTTATAAAATTGCATAGGCCCTATTGAAATTGCTCCTTATTATTATTCTTCCGCTTCTTCCATAGAATGAATTGCGATTTTGAGAGTTTAAACATGCCCGAAAACTGGCAAAATTTTACATTAGTTATAGATTTCAGAAGTTGGCGTGTCAAAATGACTCGACAGCGCCACCTATGCACTTTTGACGGACCGGCGACCGAACTACGATTCACACACACGCACGAAAATTGGCAAACACGTCAAACATGCCTATACCTACAAAAAAGTTTACTGGTGCGAAGTCTCAAACCCAACAGGAAGGCCTTTGTGATTTTAAATTGCGAAGATCTAGAGTTTTCATTGGAGAGCGTGTCTGTGGTGGCCTCGCAAACTTTGACGATTCCCCACGAAACCGGAAGTTGTTGTAATTCAGACATGCATTGTCAGATCTGCCTCAAAATTCACACGTTTAATAAGAGTTCTGACCTAAACATGTTTACATGCGGATATCCAGATACAGTTATAGCGCCACCTGCTGGTAACAGGAAATGACGTTTTACAGTTTCGCCATGGAACAGAAAGTGCATATAACTCAACCACACAATGTCCGAACTGCCTGATACTTCACATGGTTGATAAAATTCCTCTTCTGAACACATCTACATGCCAATATTGAGTCACAGTCATAGCGCCATCTCTTAACAGAAGGTAGTTTGGCTTATAACTGAACCACACAATGTCTTACCTGCCTGAAAATTCACATGTTCAATAGGATTCCTCCCCTGAAGACATCTACATGCCAACAATGAGTCACAGTCATAGCGCCACCTGCTGATAGAAGGAAGTTTAGCTTATAACTCAGCCACATAATGTCTGACTTGTCTGAAACTTCACATTGTTAACAAAATTCATCTCTTGAAGACCTTTACATGCCAATATCTAGTCACAGTCAAAGCGCCACCTGCTGACAGGAGGAAGTTTGGCTTATAACTCAACCACAAAATGTCTGACCTGCCTTAAAATTCACATGTTCGATAAGAATCTTCTCCTGAAGACGTCTACATGCCAATATTGAGTCACAGTCATAGCGCCATCTGCTGACAGGAGGAAGTTTTGCGTAAATCTGTGATTTTTTTCAGGTTTTTTCAGCTTAAATTAATATTGTTCGCTGTTCTCTGTCATCCTGAGGCCACTGTGTGGCAGTGAGCCTGGGTGCAAAGTCCCTTTCATCGCTGCTTGCAGCTTTAATTATTATTATTATTATTTTTATTTTAATTATATTTAGTTTTTATATATTGAGTTTCATTCATTCATTTTCTTTCATGGACCGCCCTCTAATCATCAGGGGTCGCCACAGCGAAATGTACTTATCCAGGACATGTTTTACACACCGAATGCCTATCCAGCTGCAACCCCGCATTGGGAAACATCCAAACACAGTCATCCACACACATACACTACAGCCAATTGTGTGTACTTAATTTATCTACATCACATGACCTTGGACTGTGGGAATCAGAGCACCCAGAGGAAACCCATGCGAACACGGGAGAGCATGCAAACTCCCGTCAGAAATGTTAACATGACAGTGACAGTGCAAACCACTGAGCCACCATGTCGATCTATAATGGTTTCAGCTCTAGTAATTCTAGTTGGACAGCATTATCAGAACAGGTCCAGTGTTGACCAAAGTAAAGATTAGTAATAAAAGATTAGCTTAGTGATAAAGGTAAAATAATAATTTTAACAGATGCTGAACCCAAAACCACACAAATGCAACTAAACTGTATAAGCTAAACTTTATGAGAAAATATGCATCTTGTATTCCATGTTATTTGCACCAAGTCATTGATACCAATTTGTGGTGTTCAGACATCAAACCAATTATTTGTTAGTTTAACAACAGTGTCAAATAAGAACCTAGAATTGTATTTTCATTTAGTTTGCGGAGTTTAGTTTAGCAAATGTTTTGGGTGTACTGAGAAATTGAGAAAGATCAGATAAGTTACTCGTAAATTTGTCTTTAGTGGACAAAATTATGGTTCTGTTAACTGTTTCAGTCGCCTAACTTACTGGTAATATGTTTACAGGAAAGGATATTTACAGGAAATGAATACTCACACTCAGCACCATTGATCACATCACTTTTTTAGGAGAACAAGCCTAGATATAATTATGTATTTAGTACTCTAATACATATCTGTTATCAACTATAATTCTCTGTAGCTTGTGTTTCACTGTTGTTGTTGTTCTTTATTAAACTGTCAAACTGCATAAAGAGCTTGATGTAAGACATGAGTACATTGATCCTCTAGTCGGCTGTGATTTCTAAAGGGAAAGTTGTATGAAGATATGCATTCACAGTTTTATCATTTTTGAATCTATGATTTTTTTGGCAGTGCGGTGGCGCAGTGGGTAGCGCTGTCGCCTCACAGCAAGAAGGTCGCTGGTTCGAGCCACGGCTGGGTCAGTTGACATTTCTGTGTGGAGTTTGCATGTTCTCCCCGTGTTTGCGTGGGGTTCTTCCGGGAGCTCCGGTTTCCCCCACAAGTCCCAAGACATGTGGTATAGGTAAATTGGGTAAGCTAAATTAGCCGTCGTGAGTGTATGGGTGTTTTCCAGTGATGGGTTGCAGCTGGAAGGGCATCTGCTGCGTAAAACATGTGCTGGTGGTTCATTCCGCTGTGGCGACCCCAGAATAATAAAGAGATTAAGCTGAAAAGAAAATGAATGAATACATGTTTTGGTTTGTCATAATTTTTCAGTTTATAATTTTTGTTTGCGTATGCCAATTTCAGCATTCTGCCATATGTTCACTTTAAAAAACAATTTCTGAAAAGTTTTATAAATGAGACCCCAGGTCCTGACAAGCTACAGAGCAGAGCAGAGCAGTGCTCATTAATATGCATGACTATCCAAATATAGTCAAAATGGTGCTTGTCATTCAAGGGATATTTTCTGGGGTAATAAACAAGGATACTGTTTCTTGAGATTTTTCTAACTAATAGGCCACATTACTACTTTGTTGATATGGGAGAACAATTTAACATATTGAATCAATGAAGTAAATAGGACCTTTAAATTAAAATAAAGTGTTAGTATCATTATGTTAGTCTTAAAGATATCTATAAGCAAGTGTGTTCCAAAACAGTGACAAAATTCATATTTAGAAAATTTAAACAGCATAGGCTCATTCTGAAAATGTAGCCATACATACAGTTTAAGTCAGAATTATTAGCCCCCTTGTTTTTCCCCAATTTCTGTTTAATGGAGAGAAGTTTTTTTCAACACATTTCTAAACATAATAGTTTTAATTACTCATTTCTAATAACTGACTCGTTTTATCTTTGCCATGATGACAGTAGATAACATTTGACTAGATATTTTTCAAGACACTTCTATACAGCTTAAAGTGACATTTAAAGGCTTAAATAGGTTAATTAGGTTAACTAGGCAGGTTAGGGTAATTAGGCAAGCAATATAACGATGGTTTGTTCTGTAGACTATCGAAAAAATATATAGCTTAAAGGGGCTAATCATTTTTACCTTAAAATGTTTTTTAAAAATTAAAAACTGCCTTTATTCTTGGTAAAATAAATCAAATAAGACTTTCTCTAGAAGAAAAAAAATATTATCAGACATACTGTCAAAATTTCCTTGCTCTGTTAAACATCATTTGAGAAATATTTAAAAAAGAAAAAAATTCAAAGGGGGGCTAATAATTTTGACTTTAACTGTACGTTTCTGGAGGTTACGAATTATGTAGCCTACGTATGGCTGCATTTCATCTTTAAAACGAACCCTACGAGGCGGTATGATGCCATTTCTGTTCTCGCTTACCAGCTGACCGCTTACCTCTGTATGGACGGCTTTTCCGCTGTTACCAGTTTGTCAGGTAGAGCTCAACATGTGTGCCGGTGGAGTTGACCACAACAACGAGGTTCGAGTCTGGTGAAGAATTGTTCCAAAAAGCAGGTGACAAAAACAAAACCCCAAAGATAAAATAAACAAGTAAATAACAGGGTGAGAATGTAGTAAAATCTGAAAAAAAAATGTAAAAAATCAGGAGGCTTGTCTTTTTCTGGATTGCTTTTTAAAACACTGAGGTTGGATTTAGTTAAGGGGCTGGGCATCAATCGGTGCATTTGAAAACACTATTGGTTAGGTTTAGGGAAGGGGAGAGTGGGTCAGTGAATCACTCAGTCAGTTAGTCAGTCATTTATTCAGTAGACAGTCAGTCAACAGCGGCCTCTAGTGGATTTATGTGAGAACAGCAGGCATGATTGGCAGTCGCGAGAGAAATTTCAAGTCTGACAAATCCTACACAGCAGCCTCAAGTGGATTCGTGAAAACAAAAACTACAAAAAACGTAGCTCCTGGGATGTATTTTGCTCTCCAGAAATGTATATAGGGGTACATAATCTGAATGAGACTGGGTTTGATTTAACCATCCAAAGCTTGCAGCTTGTCATTTAAATGCCACATAAATGGATCAACAATTCAGTTTCTCATCAATTCTTCTGTCCAATAAAATGCTCAATAGTATCTGTCATGTCCCGCCCCCTTCAAGATACTTCTCGTTGCTTTCGCACTGATTGGCAGGGCTGTGATAAAAACTAAACGTTATTGGCTGTCGCCTCACAGCAAGGCTGTCGTCTTAAAGAGGGAGGAGCTTTATGTCCTACTCTCTCTTCATGTTTCAGTTGAGATTGTCAAAAAAAAATATTACATTATGAATTCCAATTTTTGTATATTGGAGCAATAAAAATGAAACTGCATGACCAACTCGAACAATATCATTTCAAAATGCTTATTTCAATGAAAGTCACCAATAAACAGCAGAGTTACAACATCAAACATGTTAGAGCAGAGATCAAGGTCACATAATGCAGTTTAACAGTGTAAAAAAACAGCAGTGAATTACAAGCTATAGACAATAACATACATTTATTACAATGCAGCATACAAATGAAATTATATCGGTGCATGTTATCTTTCAAAAAAAAGTGCTGTGATCAAAGGTGTTGAGGGTGAGTATTCATTTCCTATAAATGTCTAACATATTTCCAGTAAGCAAGGGGATTGTACAGTTGAATGCAAAAATAGAAAATACGGAAGAAACCCTGTAAGATATCACACCTCAGCAAGTGTCATGAAACTTTTTCATATGCAAATGAATGTGCTTTTCAAAAATTGTTTGTGGTTAAATAGAGCGGAACTCAAAGGATGTGCTTTTACAAGCTTGATTTATTAAAATACTGTCTGAAATAACTTCTGAGATATTTTCAGATTGTTATTTTCTATATATAATTACTTCTGTTTTCTCCTGCTTTTCATTCGAGTCTGGTCAAAAAAATGGAATGTTGACTGTTGGATGATGATGTAAAGAGAAATATCTTTGTATGTGTTATTTCACAAATACAAGTCTTCAATGATACATGTATAATGTTCTAAAATCAATTAAATTAAATTATAATGTGTAGGTTTTGAATCTATCTAAATATTAAGAATATGAAAAAAAAAAAAAGTTTAGCATAATATACTGTCCAGCATAGTATGCAAACAATACAGACTTGGTTGCAATTTATAGATTTAAAAAAATAGGACTATAATCCTAGCATAGAATCACCAAGAGGCGACACTCTAGTGCGATTCGGGAAACAGCCACTAGACGGCACAGTAGCCATTTTGGAATGAAAATTCCAATAGAACAACAGCTTATTATAAGTCTGTAAAATAAATTATTAAAAGTGCATATGACTGTGATAGTAAGTGTTGTATTGTCGTCTTTCAGGTTGTATCTCAGCTTTAATGTGCTTCTTAAATAAATTAATTTAAAAAACAAAGCAGCTGCTTGCAATCGCAACAGACAGCAATGGACAGCCGATCGCTTTCACTCCAAAATGGCGGAATTCGGGGTTGTTGCTGGGCGCTGCTGTTGCAATGGAACATTCTATTGAGTGTCGCCTCTTGGTCATTCTAAGCTCTTTGCTATAATTGAGAACATTGGTATTTTTTACCTTTGTGTTAATGACATCGTCCCACAGCAACATAAGCACAATACATGAAAGACTGTTTATAATAAATTGTATTTATTTTTAACAAAGTCCAGCTATTTAGCCAGTGTTTTATCAAACTGCTCTCACACACTTTCAGTTAGATCATGGCAAGAAAGTAAGAGTGTGTCCTAATTTGTCATTTTCCAGGTGCTTTTTAAGGAATGACTGTATATCTGGTCTTAAAAGATTGATATGGTAATCTCTGGAGTCTGAAACCGAAACTGCATCAAGTTTCGCTTTTGAGCAGAGGTTCTTCACTCCCCAGCTAACAACACCAATCTGTCAAAAAGTCAACAGATATTAATAAAACACAAGAAAACATACAACAGATATTAATTAATGCATTTCATGTACAGACGACAATATTGTCAAAAAATTAAAAGTAATACTTTACATCAATTTTTAAATCAATCTCTGATATTTCCCTGCTGAAAAATCCAGCTTAAACCAGCCTAGGCTGGTTTAAGCTGGATTTTTCTGCAGGGAATTGTCTTTTAAAAATTGAATCATGTCCTTTAGTAGAAATGTTTGGACTTAAATGTATCGCTGTCATCTTTGCATAAGTGTAATAGTATAACTCTTATAGCAATTATTAAGCAATGGGATATGCAAATAATTGCTATAAGAGTTATACTACTGAAGTGGAAAAATCCTTCTCCGCTCAACTATTTTTATCAGATATATAACCTGCTGCAGTTTATTCAAATAGAGAAAATTAGATTTACAATTAATGGCAAAACAGAAGATTTCTATACAGTTTGGCAACCTTTTCTGTTGTATTTTTAAAAAGTGCATTTTTCATTATTATTTATGTAAACAATCTTAAATATCTAATCTGTCTGTGTCAGTCTTTTGATAAAAAACTTCTCCAAGAATGTAATGGGAAAAGAATGTGTGTCTGATTTCTGACATTTAACAGTAATGGCTTACTTATGTTTCTTTTTGACTTAGTAAACTATGTTTACTTTCTTTATTTTCCTCTGAATATGGTTCAGAGAGTAAGGAATGTGTTTAATTACCACCCAATATTTTTTCTTCAATACTGTGAAATTAATGTATTATGTATTTCCTTTCCCTCACTTGTAATTACTCTCTGACTGAGAATTGCCAATAAAAGGAGGTAAACTAAACATTAAAAGGAATACGGAGATGCAGAATTTACTGATTAAAAATTAAACATTTATATTTCAGCTAGTATTCTTTATTCAAATTAAAACGGCCTGTGTAACGAATATATCAAATCAGACAATTGTAGATTCAAAGGTTTTTTACTGTATAATTTGGAGCAAGAGAAAAAGTGGAGTGGCTTTATTGTGTCACTTTGCTCACAGCTGATTAGTTGGATCTCAGTTTGTGTTCTCTAAAACAGAACATAGCCTGTCCCGTAGCAAAGTAGCCATGCGGCTTAAGACACCATAACCATCAAAAAATATTAAAGCTTTGTTCCTAGAACCCAGGATTTGTGTAAACTAAACTGAAACCTAAATGGCTAGCCAGCTAATCCAACCTTCTTGTACAGGCACCAGAATCCACACTTTTTTTGATTTGATCCAGCTTAAAAATTTAAGGCAACAAAGATTTTTTTTACAGTGCAGTGTAATACATGATGTCAATGTTTTCACTAATTCATGTTTCTGTAGTTTACACAATCACAATATCGTTTTACAAATATGCATCATTTTTTTCTGTTTTTAGTTGACAACCGACCCTTGATCATTACCACATCATCGATACTATTTCCAAAAAGAGAGGAAATCTCACCTGAATCAGTCGGCCATATTTATCCACATGTGTGGCTCCACCTGATTCACCTGTTACAAAATGATATGCAGACATGATATTAGGTCAATAATAAAAAACAAAAATTAACAAAAATTAAGATATTAGGTTAATAATAAAAAGGTTAAAAGCTGCCATGTTGATGATGAAAATCAAATATACCTTTGCAGGAAACATCATCTCTTTGTGGTTGATTACCACCACTGCACAAGAAATTTTTTGTAACTGCCTCCGTCGCGTCTGCCACTTCGATTCCTTTTGCTTTTTTTGCATCTTCAACACAAGCATCCAGCTAAAGAAAAAGAAGAAAAATGTATTTTAAAATGAATGACTTGTACTACCAATAATCCAGTAATGTTTTCTGATGCACAGTGCACATATCACATGGCAAAAATTATAAATAATCTCATTCTTCACTAAATTATACAATCACAGGCTACAACCAATGTACAGTAAGCGGCTAGAGCAGGGGAGCCCAAACACAGTCCTGGAGGGCTGGTGTCCTGCAAAGTTTAGTTCCAACCACAATCAGATGCACCTGGGCTAGCTAATCAAGCTCTTATCCTGCGGTCACACTAGAGTTTGAGCTTACGAAATTCTGTCGTACGTCGTTGCTAAAAGGGGCGGGATTAAACAAGATGATTAGACATTAAAAAAGCGAGTAATCAGTCCATGTTTTAAATTCCTGTCCAGAGAGGTCATGTTTTGATCTTTGACTGGTCTCACGCAATCATGTTATGCGATTTCGCAGGTCAGAGTTCCCCAAGCTTGATATTTCCAACTGCAAAAGTTGTCGCAGGAGCTTCCTTTTCCGGTCTGATGCATTTGTGTGCAGGTGTGTTAAGGCAAGTTTGAGCTAAAATCTGCAGGACACCAGCCCTCCAGAACCGAGTTTGGACACCCTTGGGTTGGCGAATAGTCATAATGCACTGTGAGAGTTTGCACGCCAAATGCTTTTCCCAGTTTTTGTCTGACCATCACAAGATGGCATCAAACCCCTATTGGTGTAAGTTTCTAAAAAAATATTTACTTAACATTTGTATGCATGACAGAAATCAAAGTACTATGTGTTATTACTAATAGACATCATGCTAAGTGTTATAGGGAAATAACCATCACAGGGTGTGACCAAGAAGTAAAAATCTAATCTGGGATTTATCAACCATCAAAGCACAAGCCAAACAGCATCCTTTCCAGTGCACTCAGTGGCCAAATTCACTCAATTATTTTCATTCAGTCATCAGCAGCCAAAACACGGACTGATATGTTGCACTCGGGATTATTAATATGTTTTGAGATTATAACAATGATAACTGTCCTCCCTTAGTTTTAAGTTTATCAAAGTTTACATTTACCATGTATGTGGGACTCTTATTTTGAAAACGGGAGACACTGCAAAGTCAAAGCCAGCTGCACCAGTTTGTTTTTTATGCGTTACTAAACAATGATTCTTTAGAGCTCAACAGAACGCAAAATGCAGGATATACAGATTATACATTTCCTTGGTGCCACCACACCAATGGTGCACAATGTATGGGGTGGGGGTTATCTCTTGTTAATTTATCGTGTTTATTGGGTAATCTGACAGATATGAAGGAACAAATAAGCATATAAAATTGAAAGCATATAAAACCATTTCTGAAAAATGTTTGAACCTACCTAAGTCACGTACCTACTATGTAGATATCAGAAAACAACTTAACTTATTGATCTGATGCAGTATATGGCACCTTTAAGTGACTGACCACGGCATGGTGGTTGGTGGCTGATGGTCTGGTCTGAGTATTTTTTTTCTGAAACTGTTGATCGACTGGGATTTTCATTTGATAGTGTTTGTAATAAAGTGACTCGTGATTGTAAACGTAACAGAGCAGTTACTCAAACATGCTGGGAGTTGCTGGTTCAATCCCAGCTCAGAGCGGGTTGGGTGGTGTAGGACCGGCAGGGGTTACATTGGTGCCATGTATTCGGATGGACCTGAGGTTTAGGGGGGGGGAGTGTAATAGAGGCTATCTAGTGAAGTGTTGTGCAGGTAAACTTCACTCCTCTGACCTCTAAAAAGTGCTCTAATGACAAACAGTGGAGGCTATGGTCTTTAGCCTCATTGTTAAAGCAACTGACTCCCTTGTGGAGAGTTGCCGTTTCGATTCCAGCTTGGAGTTAGTTGGGTGGTGTAGGACTAGTGGAGGTTACTGAAATACCACTCTTTCGCTATTTCTTATACAGTGAGTCTCACACTTCCATCAAAATCCCAATGCTGACCACTTATCTCTATTTACTCATTTACTGTACCACATTACACTATAGAGGAGGTCTCACAACATGATCAGACAAACACATCAGATAAAAAAATGAGAAGCATTACATATTTTCCAAGCTTGACTGTGATCCTCCTTATTTTCCGTGGACTGCGTTTTTCCATGTCCATTTTAGATGTGAAAGCAGCATCCACAAGCTCATTGCTCAATAATATTTGCTCTGTAACATATACACAGCAGAAAAGAAACGCATGTCTCATTGTCCAAATATCAATGCTTAGAAACAGTTAAATACTGTTTCTTATATGCATTTGATAAATAAGGGTGTGTCTAGTTTCTTACCATGTTTTTCACAAGTCCCTTGACTGTCTGAAAGTTTCAGTGCTCTATTGGTTTCTTTGGTGCAGGGGAGGCAGATTGGCCTGTACAGAGATACACATAACAATCAGCAGTTTAAACAACACTTATTCTAAATTAAGTAAATTTCTGTGCGTAGATTAACCGTAGATTGACGCTCATCTTAACAGGAGTTTTGAGCTGCAGAAGTGCGACATCAAAGTCATAAAATTCCTTTATTCCAATGCTTTGTTTTGCTGTGAGGCTATAATTAGGATGAATGAAAACCTTTTCCACTTTTACATCTACAAAAAGAAAAGTAGACATCATGACAAGATTTACTTAATGGGATATTTGTCTATTCTTCAGTCTGAAAATACGATCAAAGGAAATCAGGACACAACATTACCCGTGTTTTTTTCCAAATACACCGTTATCTTATCCGGTGTGTCTCCTTCTTTAAAACAGTGGGCTGCTGTCAAGATATACCGGGAGGTAACTAACGAGCCCATGCAATCTGAGATCTGCGATTGCTACAGAAAGAGCAGAGAAAAGAGATTTTTATTCATAGAAAGATTCATCTCTTTAGCTATAACATGCATTCATCTTCTCATTGGAGAAAAAGTTATATATGCACATATGATAACATTTGACAAAAAAAAAAGGATCCTCACTGCAATACTAAGCTGTGCCAACCAGGGGTATGCGCTGCGTTTATTTGATCCATCATAGTTTTGCTGCATCCCACACAATCCTACAACGGTGCTATCATCTGTGTAAGAAAGCAGATACTTCTTTAAAAATTCTGTCAACATTTATTTAAGCCTGTTTAGTTGCTTAAAGATTAAGATTAAAGATTAAAGATTTCTTACTGTAAATGTGTCAATACTGAATAGTACTAACGCTTAGGAATAATGCTTGGGAGTAAATTGGTCCACATATATAGTATATAAACTATACTTTTATTTGTAACAGTAGACTGTTAGTGCACAAGTGGTCCACAATCCTGTTTTTCATTTGTACTGCAAGTGAAATTAGAAGTTTTATTTTTGTATTACTTGTAGTAAATAATTTATTTGTTCTTTGTGGTATACTCTCACTAAACTGTTAGTTTATAGTTTATTTATTATGCTGAAAGTGATCTGTTAGTGTACTCTTAGATAACCAGGTCTTTTTCACTCAAAAAGGATACATTTACAATATGTTGCTTGTGGGACACTTATAATTAATTCATATACAAAAACAAGTACAATTTAATATCACTAATCATGCACTTACACGGGAATATAGTTAAATAATACTAAGCATACTTCAATTTGTTCATTAAATAAATCAAAAGTTTTACGATATTACAGTTTAGTGACAATTAAAATATACAAAATGAGTTGTTTCGAAATAGCACACTTAAAGTTAACTAAACAGTGAATGGATAGTTCACCCAAAAACTAAAATGTACTCACTATTTACTCACTCTCAAGTGGTTCCAAATATTTATGAGTTTTAATTACTTTGATGAGCACAAAACAAGATACTTGAAACCTGTAACCACTGACTTCTACAGTACCACAGATGGTAAAACTTTACAATACAGAACACATAGTTAATATTAGTTCATTCATTTAGTAACGTGAACAAATACGTTCATTCATTTATTCATGTTTGTTAGCGTAATGAAAATACAGTTGTTTAGTGTTAGTTAATGTTATCTTGCAGTCCATTAGCTAATGTTAACAAGCACAGTGTTGAATTATATTAATGCATTAGTTAATGCTGAACTGTAAATAATAAATGATGTACAAGTATTGTTCACTGTTTGATCATGGTAGAAAATACAATAATAATTAACATTGTAACTAACAACTACATGTAACTAACAAAAAATACTTTGGAAGTCAATGGTTACAGGTTTCTGACATTTATTAAAATAACTTTTATTGTGATCAACAAAAACAAAAAATAAAAAAACTTATAAAGGTTTGGAACCACATGAGCATATGGAAAAATAGCTAAAGTTTTGTTTTGGCAGAACTATCCCTTTAACTCTTACAGTTAGTCTAGCCGCAAGAATATTTTGCATATTTCTTTTTCACTAGGATAGGCCCTAGTTAAATTTGGGAATTTAAGTAGCTTTTTAAAAAAATATAGAACACACATTACTAGTGTGCATCTTAAGACAAAACAGAACAGTTTAGTCTCGGCCTTAAACCTTGTCTGTGAAATATATATAGTCTACTTCAAGTTATACATTCAGAATTGTGAAAAATGACATCAGAATTGACAGAGAGGCCTGTTCATTTCCAAGTACAGGAAATAAAAAAAAAAATCACAAAAAGAAATGTTTTTTGTAAAAGGTCAGAGTTGTGCAATTAAAAGGTTGTTATCAGCAATTTTACAACACAGAAAATATGGTAAAAGTTTTTTTTCTAATCTGAGTTAATATCTTAATTCAGTTTTTAGCAACTATTTCTTTTAAATGCAAATTAAAAAATATATATTGCAGCAGTTGCAGTACGAATTATTAAACCCCCTGAATTATTAGCCCCCATGTTTATTTTTTTCCCCATCTTCTGTTTAACGGAGAGATTTTTTCATCACATTTCTAAACATAATAGTTTGTTCTGTAGACTATCAATATATATATATATATATATAGCTTGAAGGGGCTAATAATTTTGACATTAAAATCTAGCCGAAATAAAACAAATAAGACTTTCTCCAGAAAAAAAATATTATCAGACAAACTGTGGAAATTTCCTTGATCTGTTAAACATCATTTGGGTACTATTCAAAAAAGAAAATAAAATTCAAAGGGGGGCTAATAATTCTGATTGCAACTGTGAATACCCTGGATGGAACATTTCAATATACATCAAGAGTGTGAGGTAAATATTCACAGAAATTTAAATTATAGATTTATTACCAAGCATGAGGTCAAACGTATTCTGCACCTCGTCCAAGTCTGGAAGCTTAAAAAAATGTCTTTCATCTTTCTTCTCTGACACTAATCCATTCATGTCTTCTTTCTTTACATCCTTTCCAACTCCAAATACATAAAGATCTGACAAGAAAGGACACATTGTTATCTTGATGCAATAAACAATATGAACCTATAAATGTACTTGCTCACCAAGTTTATTCTCTCGACTTGCATTATTTTTAATGACAAGATTCTTTATTAGGTCCACTTTAGGTTTGGGATTCCCTCCCATGTTAGCTTGGCCTATGAAGTAAAAAGAAGCAATGACAGATCAGTTATCTCGGTTCTGATATGCACTGATGTGTTCTACGATCCTTGTATTACACTGGATATTTTGTTAAAGAATTCAGCTAATCTTTCTGATCAAAAACTTGGTAAGGAATTTAACTTGTAAGTACAGATTCACAAACATATACAACAGGAAAAGCGATGTCTGGTTGATGATGATTGTATGCAGATACTGATAAGTCATTACCATCAGTAAACACGATGATGACGTGTTGGGTCTGAAGAAAGTCTTCTTTATTCTGGACCTGCTCAAGTGACATGCTGTCTAAAATCTTCAAGTAAAGTTTAGCGATATTAGTGCCTGTTCGATCGCCTTTTTCTGTTGGTAAAAAACAAACAAACATGTAAAAAAATTATAAAATTATTTTAAAAGTATGGTAAGTGACAGCATATTTCAAATAAAATTCAGTTTTAAGCTGAAACTGCAACATTTATGAACTGTGATCAAAACTGGAACAACCTGGGGTGCGTTTTCCAAACAACAACGTAACTCATGGCTGAACTATCATAGTACAATGCATCGTTTTGAGAATAGAACAATGTATTGACGAGTGTTTCCCAAAACCCCTAGTTTCTCTGTCGCAGTTCCATCGCTTGAACCACGTTAGTTTAGCATAAAACGCCCATAATAATCCTCTAGACTGGGTAAAGTAACTACTTCTTTAGCAAAAAAAAAAAAAACATCATTTCTTTGTGCAAAGTATATTGTTTTACACAAACATGCATTTAAAATAAAATCTAATATTAGATGTGATAAAAACATGCACTCGTTTTCCAAATTAATTTAAATATATGTAAATGGCACATATAGGGCCTTTGTTTCCTTTACAAATATTATTGAGATTATTACATATTCCATTCTAAAACATAAAATTACTTCCAAAAAACACCTTTTCTAATATCATATATAAATCATATAAATAAATAAATAAATGATGAGCCAATTTATTTAAAAATATATTTATATTAATATATAAGTCTACTTTTACAATTTGACACATGCAAACCACAGCAGAAAGTTCTAACCAGCAGGTCCATGTCATATACAGTATAGATAATTAATAAATAGCCCACTATAAATTAAAAGAACTAACATATACTATGTTTTTTTATTTTCACAAGCTTTGGAGACGTAACATAAATTCCGATTTTAAATAATAGGTCACCTATAGCTTTTTTTGCCATGAGGCTGTGTTCAAAATTATATGAATGTTTTCAAAGTGCACTGCGAAGGGAGCACAACTGTAAACATGAAGTTTGCTAAAACTGAACTGTAAAAATAGTTTAAAAGCAAATTACACCTAAGAGAGATAACCTTAACGCTTTTTTATTTTTAATAATTCAAACTTTGAAAGTTTCACTAAATGATTAGGGCATAGGGGGGATAACTGGGAATAGAACACAGCCAGGAACTATGTTTCTAACTACAGCTCCAGAGGTGTAGTTGCAAGTGTTCAAGTTTGCGACGCAGTTTGCAAATGTTCGTTGGAACGATGGATTGGTGGATTGATGGATGGTCAACAGCAAATCAGCGAACTATGTTTGTTGACCTTAGTTGGCTAATGATGGATTTGGGAAATGCACCCCTGTGCGTTTCAACAAATTTAATGCACACCCTCCAGCCAATCAAGAATTTCAACAGTGATCACGTGTGGTCTATAGATGGAGCATGAAAGACTTAGGTGACCTATCGGTTTAGTGTTTAACACCATCACTCAGGCTAGAGCACAATCTACGAAACATGCCTAGTCCCTGAAGTGGAGTCTATTCGCTGTGTGGTGTATTTCTCTCCGAGAGGGACGTCCAGACGGCTGGCTGGATCTAAGGCTGTTCGATCTACACTGAAGGGTTGGCGATGCGATTATCCCTGCTCTGATAGTGCGGGGATGATGGTGCGCTGGGAAAGCATCACCTCATCCAGTTCCCAGAGGTGCAAGATGGATATTTAAATCAATCCTGTCCCTCTCTCATACTCGCTTGGAGATTTCTGTCCAGGTAAACAGCTCTGCTGAACGCGTTGGCATCAGTCAAGAGGGTCAGGTATCTAGAGGCATTTTTGGCCAGCGAAGTGTGCCAGCAATTCGGGCCGGCCAACTCTCACATTTTCCTGAGACCCTGGCCCACCTAGGTGCCCTAGGTTCCTACAGTCCTTTCTTTTTAAGACTACATAGTAAGCCTGCAAGTGCTGCAGGAGGCAGGCCCAGCCCTTTCACTGCTGTGTCCAGTTTGTGCTCTGCATAATTTATGTGGACCGCACTCAAAGCTTTAGATCCTCTGAGCAGCTCTTTGTCTTTTACAGCAATCGGCAGAAGGGAATTGCCGTATCCAATTAGAGGTTGGCCCACTGGATAGCGGACGCCATCTCCCTCGCTTATCAGAGCAAATGCGAGCCGTGTCCCCCAGGAGTGAAAGCGCACCCCACTAAGAGCAACGCTTCTTCCTGGCTGTTAGCACGTGGCGCCTCTCTAACAGATATCTGTAGAGCTGTAGGCTGGACGACTACTATCGCGAGATTTTATAATCTTCGAGTGAAGTCAATTTCTTCATGTGTGCTGGTGAACTCCTATGAATGAGAAAATTCAGTTTGGTGGTGTAACACGCTTTCCGCGCCTTTCTCTCTAGCACATATACGTGCACTTTTTTCCAACCCAAGCTCATTCTGGAAACGTAGCCCTGCGGACGTTTCTGGAGACCGCGATTTACGTGGCCGGAGGTATGTACGGCCGCGTTTAGTTTTTTTCGAGCGAACGCTGCGGGGCGGTGTGGCGCCGACGGCTCGCCTCCGAGTGGAGGGCTTTCCCGATGCAACCAGTTTGTCCGCTTAGCTCACAGCGTTACGTCGGCAGAGCAGAGGCCCCGGAGGAGGAGGAGGAGCCGGCCGTGGGGACGATGACCGGGATCAAGTCTGGGAAACAGCGGTTCCAGAAATCAGGTAAGATGAAAAACAGAATCCAAAAAATAAGGGCGAGAATGCGGAGGGATCCGAAAACGCGGTCGAAATCGAAGACGAGGGCTTTTGCTTTTTTTTTTTTTGGACAACTTTTGCGAACCGTCGCTCGGGTTTAGGGAAGGAGGAGGAGGAAGAGGAAGAGGAAGAGGAGGGTGGCCGGGTCTGCCGGGTCGGCCGATCCGGCGGCTTTTCGCGCGAGAACGGCGCGGGCGCAAACGACAAACGCTTCCAAGAGGCGCCCGAGACACGTAAAAGCGCGCACAGCGGCCTCTCGCGGATCCACAAAAACAAAAACCGCTCGAATACGAATACGTTCACGGGGCTACGTTTCCACAATGAGCCCTGGTTGCTTTTATCACTCTGTTCAGTTGAGTTCCCTTGAGTTCAGTCCTCTTCCCTCCCCACTAACCATCTTTCATGTGTGTACTTTCCCTTCTCAGGGTTAGTCCATGTCTTCTTGCCACCAGGTCTCTCCATTTGGGCAGCAGGTGGCCTCCGCAGCGTCCTCCCAATCAGGACTGCAAGCTTTTCCAACGTACTGTGGTATACTGAAATTCCTAGAACAATAACTAGGTGTATTTTTTTACGACTCCTCAAAAAAAATATATATAATAGGTCTTAAAATGCTTCATACGTAAGTAAATTAGGGCCAGGTGGCACGTTGGAGGGCTGCGTCTTTGGTGATGATGGTGCGCTCATGCTGAAATCTTGGCAAACCTCTCACCAGTGTCATGGTAAGGTTCAATCGCTGTGGCGTTTTTCATACAAGTTTCCACATACTGTAGCATTGAAGTTCCCCTCCTGCTGGGGAATGACACAGTTACTAAAGTAACCCTTGTTTCCGAAGGGGGGAACGGAAATGCTATGTTTCTTCACCTCAAGCAATTGCGCCTTAGCTGACCATTGCAGTTCGGCTCTTCAGCTAGAAAAGGTGACTTTTCAATGCACAGCTTGCATCTTTATTCACGAGTGATTGTGATTGCATTTCATTGGCCCGTTTTTATAGTATTTCAGATGATTGATTTCTGACGAATCCCCATTCCCCACAACCCCTCCCTTTACTTTACTTTAGTAAGTGTTTCGTTCCCCTGAGCAGGGGCGTAGATTTATTGTGTCCCCAACAATATCCACAAACTACTAAAATGTCCCCACCAATAATTTAATTCACTTAAAAACATTACGCTGTCAGTATAAACCTAGACATGCTGAAAGGGTTAAATCACGTTCTCTCCTCGAGTCGCACCGCCCCCAAACACATATGAACATTGTGATTGGCTGTCCCTTTCCATGCTGTCATGTGAGTGGCTGCTTTCAGATCATAGTTCCAGATACAAACAGCGCCAAAACAACTGCGCAGGGGGAATTTCCCGATGTGTGTGAGATGTATGACAGACACACACAAGTGAGGATGGAGGTAGCAAAAAAAGGTGGACATAAAGAGCTTTTTTCAACGAAAAGTGTAAGTCACATAAACTCAAGTTCGCTACTGAATGAGTCCATCATGGTAATGCTGCTATTGCTGGTGTTTTCACCGCTTTTACGGTCAGTCTAAATCTAATGTTAAAGCAGACTGATATAGTCTGTAAACAATATTCCCTGAAAACTAACTGCAGAATAAACACCTACATGTAAACGTATATGACCCTGCCAGTTCTCCTAATCTCTTAGAGTAACATCTCCAAGTTCAGGTGAAACAATTAGTCAGAAAAACTACAGCCTGTTTTCCATCTTTTAATAATACTGTGAGACGTTTAATTTGTACGAAAAATGAACGAAAGTCTTTATTAAACTCTCTCTTTATCAGTGAATAAACATTATTTTAACATGACACTTTCAGGCCTGTAGCCAGCTTATTGAAAGGAGGGGTTATTTGTTTTCTGAAAAACAACCTTTTTGTAGTTTTTCACCTGAGGTATAAATAATACATTTAAGTGACATATTAAGAGCAAATTTTTGCTGGGTAATCTTGTTGGATAGTTATTATAAATACAAGGAACAACCTTCCTCATGTGAGAATTTAGCTATTTGAATAATAAGATAAATTCAAACATAATAATAATAATAATCCAACTTTTGGTCTTTCAAACCACCTGACCCCCCTTGGCTACGCGCATGACTATTTAATTTAACTTAATAAATTGTAAGAAGAGAGGATTACTTAATAATACATTTTAATAGCAGTTAAATAATAAATAGCAAAATATAAAATATATATATATATAAACAATATTCATTCTTGGTGGGGGTGACTCGTCCCCAGTCCCCACCAATGTCAAGCGCAAACCTACGCCCTTGCCCCTGAGTAACAGTTAAATGTAATATTCCAATGTCTCACATTAATATTGTAGTTTTATTTTAAAAGTGAAACCAGTAAAAAAAAGTGAGACTTAATTACAGTCATTTCCGATGCTCTGTTCATTGTGTGTTTACACTGAAAAAAAAAATCAATATCTCTCTAATATTTTATGTGGTGAAAACCACACACACATATAATAGCATTTTATATTATATGACATATTTTTTTGTGAAATCCAAAACATAAACTTGTACGTTAAATGTGTGATTTGCATATTATGCTTTAAAACAACTACAAGACATACAATCAGAATACTTACTGTCGTAGTTAAAGTTGTCCAGATCTTCAAAAATCTTCGAGATGTTTCTTGCCTTTTCATTAGTTTTGAAATCCCTCATTTTAACTATCTGATCAACATCCGTCGCAAACATCAGGATCTCATAGTTCGGAGAGACCTCATAATAACTAATCTTTGGAGAAAGAGCATTGAAGATTTGGATACATTATCCAATAATATGAACATGTAAATAAACAGAAAACCAGTCATTCAACTTTAAGATCATGCTGTAAACTAAATAAGTGTGCTAAAAAAGTGACGTTACTATGTCACTACATGAGTCATGTGTTCATTCAAATTATTTTAGAACTGACATACCTTTTCTATGAGTGTTTTAATAATTTTTTTTGCTTTGCCAAAATCCTTCGGGTCAATGCTGTCAGATGCATCCACAGCAATGTAGATATCAAGTTTTCCACCCCTATCCAAAGATATTTTCTTCCCATGCTGATCTGAAGAAAGAAGGAGCACAGTGTTCATGTTTAACTGTGCTTAAAAAGACGGTTTTGCATTAAAGGGATTAATTATGATAATAAAAATGTATCTGTGATTAAATGTACCATCTTCAAACCCTTGTTGAACTGTTAGAGTTGTCGTTAGAGAATTGCCAAAAGCTTCAGCTGCTTCCATTGCAGTGTCATATGTGAAATCAGCTGTACAGTAATCACACCACAATATTAAAGATGTTATAAACTCAATGTCTTTTTTTTTCTCAGAACACAAGTCCATAAAAGCACATGATTTCCTAACTTCAGTTACTAGCAGTAACAGTATCAGTATCAGAAGTTACTCACCGTAGCACTGTGGCTCTGTTCCTGACCACTGGCCATCATCCAGACACTTTCGCACTTTGGAACCGATCAGGGTCAATGGACTGTCACAGTGGTACGTGACTTCATCATCAATGTTAAATATGCTGCCTGTTCGACTGCTACCAGGGGGAACGCCAGGATCAGGACAGTGATCTGCTGTGAGACAGAAACTTTAAGTGAAAATTTGTGAACCAATGCGAAATGACCGATGTCATTTTTTTCAGAAAGTGTTGGCTAAATAATATGGAAAATAATATAATAAAAAGCCATTGTTGTTTTAAATAAATGTTAACTCGGTTTTCCAGTGCAAATTTAATAGATGTCCAAAAATTGTCCAAAAAACCTCAATGGGATGTCTTTACACACTGATATTAATAGTGGTGGTACTCACAGTCACGTCCACAAATTGGCGTGCTTCCATTCCACTTCCCATTAGGTTGGCAAACCCGGACTTTCGAGCCTCGAAATTTATAATCAGAACTACATGAGTAAGTAGTTACGTCATTTATATAGTACCTCTCTTGATATGGAGCCACCTCTCCATTCTCCAAAACACGAGGATTAGGACATGTGATTTCTAAAACAAAAGCATGAACAAACATAGTAGAAGAGTATAATAAAAGCATTAAATAGATCCAGCATTTATTCATGATATAATGATACAAAGTGAAGCTCTATTTCTTACTTTTGCACTCAGCTTTTTTTCTAGAGCTGGCCTTTGGGGTCCAGACTCCAAATTGACAACGACGTGATGAAATAGATGGGTAATGGTTATCTGGACAAATGTATTGCAGATAACTTCCATCCGAATAGCCATTAGAAAGAGTAAAACTCCCTCCTGCAATGTCCAGATTTTCTTCGGGACATGAACCCTCTCTGGATGGAGCACCTATAAACAGATTATTGGAATTGGAGGAGGTCTATATTTCAGAATGCATTTATCTTGATTAGGCAAATAAGACCTACCTGCAATGAGAGGACATATCAGTGCAAGTATTAACCACTTCAACCGCAGCCCACACTCCATGCTGGTCATTACAAGACTTCAGATGAGGCACAAAAACACAGAAGCAAACAGTCAGGGGGTCATTTTTATAGTGGGGTCAGCAAAAGGATTTTATTTACATTCAGTGGTCAATGTTTAACCTCAAGTCAAATAAAGAGAATCAATTTCCCGGCATACACAACAAAGTAATTACCGTCACTGATACAGTATTTTTTAAATATTTGATATAGTCACAAAAACTCCCAGCTATGTTAATCCAACTGCAATCATTTAGTCAAAATATTGATAATGAAGTGCTAGAAGAATGTACCTTTAAGGTTATAGCAGAAATAGCCTAATTATTTGATGTTGGGTCCAGAGAGCACTTCAAACCAAAAAAGAGGTCATTAGATAGTTATTCTATTACAACATCAAAGGTTCCTGTCTGCTTTTTCAAAATTCATGGACAGATTCATAAACACCAGCTAAGTGTGTGAATATTGATTTATACACTGATATATAATTTTAGTCTTTCATTCGATCAATAAGAGTTTATTATTGTAAAGTGAAGGGGAATAACTGTTTGGTACTGTTTGATCTACTCATTCTGAACGCTTATTTCTTTCATTTTAGAATTAAAATAATTTAGTAAAACTCCATTATGGTTTTAAGGCAGAAGACTTATCTTTGGAACCAAACAATTTTTTATTGACTGTGCTGGCAATGATAAACATGGCTCTGCATGTGTTTTTGTTAACCCTTGGCTTTAATGCAGACCAAAAGTAATAGAAAAAGGGAGATACCCCAGGCCCTAGGATATGATGTGTGTTTTACGTTCAGTCCATATGGACAACATTTTTGGTTCAATTTAAATAGAATTTTAAAAAATGTACCTAATGGTTGAGTTTATTCCTATTCGACAATGCTGGATTTAAAAAAAGCATGTTTTTAAAAAGAATAGACTAGGGAAAATAGTGGGACAGCCAATATTTTGAGGTCAGGAATGACAAACTTTTTATTTAAATTTTTTTTTACATGACTAAATGCAAGGGAGACCGAGAAAACATTTTTTAGATTTCTCTTTATATGTTTAGATATTTAAGCCGGTGCATTAGAAATTTGATTGAAACTACCCAGAAAACTTTTTGTTTGTTTGTTTTTAAAAGATGTCTAATAAATGTCTAATAGACGTCTAAACATAATTGTCTTGCCAAAAACAAGGCTAAATTTGGGCTGTCAGTGAAAATCTAATAGACGTCTAAGAATAGGCCAAGACTAGTCATTAAATAAACAGAAATGAATGACTACACATGAAGTTTGTCTAATTTGTATATTTGATGAGTGCAAATTTAGCCTTGTTTTAGCCAAGCTGTCTAAGTTTAGATGTGTATTAGACGTCTATTAAACACAATATTGTTTGCTGGGGTATTTCTATACATGTCTTTTTAAAAATCCAAGTCTTTTTTTATTGGCTTTGTGCATGTGATATCTGGTGAGAGATTCCCTAAACCAGACAAAGGCCAAATGCGTTTTCACAAGATTGCCAATGTGAACAAGGCCCTAGACTTCATTAAAAGTCAAGCTAGTGTCTATTGGTACTTAGAGTGAGACTAATTTCAATTTCTCTTATGTTCTTAATTGTGTTTTTCCAAAAGTGTATGTTTCTTTCAAGTGAAACTAATTTGTTTTAATGCTCTCACTTGCAGAGATTGTGGATGGGAATCTGAAAATGTATGATCTGGACCATCATCCTGCACTTTGCAATCCAGGACATTTCAGTGGAGGCTGAGAGATTCTAAACATCTGACACATTATCATCTTTGCTGACTATTTAGGTGTATTCTTAGATTTCTATTTTCACTGAGAGCCCACGTTTAGCCTTTTAGCCAAGCTGTCTACGTTTAGATTTCTATTAGGTGATTAAAAGTGTCTGCTATTAAATGGCATCAGTGTAATCTTTGCAGCATAAACAGATGCACAATTTCAAACAGGAGGAGTTAAATGTTACAATTGACCACATGGGTTAATTAACACACCCTGGGGTGAGATGTACATTATGATTTCCATCAAGGTGAGATTTAGTAGTACAAAATAAGAATTGAAAGCTTTTTAATTCAACACTGAGTTTTTAGTATAATTAGTGTGTGTCTCTTTTGCAAAGCTGAATGGGATGTGCATCAGTTCAACAGCTGAACATTATTTGTGATTGCAAGCTTTATGAGGCTATGGTCAAACACTGAACTCAAATGTGTTTGGCTTTGAGGTCTTTCTCTTCCAAGACCTATAATAATGAAATCAAATCATAGAAATATAGTTTTAGATCTACTTGGGCTTGGGTGGTTCACATTTCACTGATGTTATAACCAAAAGTTTTGTAGCCATGCTCTCCTTGCAGACAATAGCTAAAACATTAGCACCAACAACATGCATTAAAAATATCTACACAGAGACACACACATGACATTTACCTTTGGTTTAATTAAATCTGGCATCGATATCCCAAAAATAATTGAAGTAAAACATTTTACTTTCTTAGCTAAAATGTACTTTTCCCCTAACACCCGCTGTGTTTGTCAGAGGAGTAACTTTTTTATATGTGGAGGTCTAATATGTGATGTGAATCCGCTGATTTGTAGTCACTTTTGGAGATTGAAAGTGTTATCTGACCTGTGTTACAGCTATCCCCAGGTCTCGCCTACACACACCTGATTTATTTAATCCATGACAGCATTAGCTGAACATTAATTCATTTAAAAATGTCAAACATAAAATCAAACAAAAAACTTTTTAGATGTTGTTTACTTTGCAAATGTATATATTAAAAACAAATCTAGGCTATTTCACAGATTCTCAAACTAGCCTACTTGGCCTATTATAATAATTATAATAATAGCATTTGCAAATAGCATCATCGTCTGGACTAATCTTTATGTTAATAAATTACATAATAGGCTATGTGTATAATATTGAAATGTTTTAATGATAGCTGGTTTAACTCTAAGAAAGATTGCCAAAACTGAACCGATTAAAATGAAAACATCACTTCCCATGCACTACTGAGGAAAAACGTCAAGTGACACGTGGTAACTACGTAGCTAAAAAGGGGCGGTCGGTGAAGGCGGGAAACTTCAAGCTTTGAAAAAAATCATCACAATCGCAGCTCGCGCTTATTTGAAGACCTGAAAGAAGAACAATTATGTGAGTAACCCTGACATAATTAGCTTGAATGGCATTGTTTTATACTTGTCTTTAGTTTTTGAATGATGTTTGATTGACTTGTTTATGGAATCTAAAAGTATGAGATTTAAGTTATGATGATGATCAAATTCAGATAGAACTTTTCATTTTTATTCACGTGTATAGGTTATTTATGAAACTCTATATCAATAACATCATGGTTTCCCGCTAAATTAACACGTCTAAAGGACGCAATCCTTTTTGGCGCGCGTTTTTATTTATTTATTCTTGTAAACCAAAAGCAAAGCTAGTGTGTGCGGTAGTGTATGCGGAAAAGAAATTTGCCGCGTTTTATTTAAGCGCGCTTTATTGTGTGGTTTTAGTGTTGTTCTTATGTATACTCTGTCTAGGTCAATGTGCTTTGAATATTGATTTTACAATATTATTAATGGACATATTTATTTTTATTTTAAAAATAATGAAATAGAAACAATATATATTTTTTTAATTCTAAGATAGAATGTATGTTATTGTGTATGAATGTATGCGCGTGCGTGTGTGTGTATGTGTGTGTATATATATATATATATATATATATATATATATATATATATATATATATATATATATATATATATATATTCCTAATTTACTGTACCTGTGTAAATCTTTAAATTCGAAACATATTTAAAAGAATGTTTGAAACTAGTAGCCATTGACTTCCATAGTATTTTGTCATTCTAGTTATTCACAATTATTTTTTTGTTTTTTTTAACTTTGTCAGTAGAAAGAAACTAAAGCTTTTGCAAACCGCTTGAGTAAATGGTTTGAAAACTTAAATTTTGGGGTAAATAATTCGTTTAATCTCGGAAATTAATGTAATTTAATGAAAAAGATATGGATTTATAGGCCAGCTGTCTTAAAATAAAAACTATATGTAATGATAAAATCAAGTAGGGAAATCGAATTTAATTTCCCCTCTCAATCACTTCTTTTCATTAAAAAGCATACAGAATCAAGTCTTGGGTCTTCTAAAATCCCAAAACAAACGATAGCTAATAAGCTGAAATTATCATCAGTTTTTGTAAATTAAAAAGGCTGTAAACAAGTTAGTTTGATTAGTTCACACGTGTATCCAGCAGATGTCACTGTTTACATTGTTATGAAATCTGTCATATGACAATGTCAATAATGGTTCATGATCTAACTCCCAAACTGTAACTTATTTTTGTTTTTCTCAGCACATTTCAAAATGAGGATTTGTAAGGGAGCACTGGATAAAGGGTGAGTAGAGTTATCATGACAACTGGAGAAATTGCTGAATTATTCAGAAAAAAAACAATAAGATAATTATTTTGTTACATTGTTTTTCTAATTGAAGACATTATATAGCATAACTGTCTCTCTACCCTTGACAGTGGCCTTGTGGCTGTGATATTTTTTCTGCTGGGAATGGGAACTTTGCTTCCATGGAACTTCTTCATAACTGCAATGACGGTAAGACATTTACCGATCTTACTTTAGGTCTTCTTTAAATCGTACATGCTTGAACTCCTTTCTTTTTTTTACTTGCAGTATTTCACCGACCGTTTGAAAAATGGTACAAATTCTACGCAGCCAGACACGTATATGTTCAGTAACAACAGTGTGCTGCTAGCCCAGCTTCCTTTACTGCTATTCACACTCCTCAACTCCTTTCTATACCAGCAGTGAGTATTCGGTTCAAACAACATGTAGCTGCAATCCTGCATACAGATAAATACCTATAATTATGATAATTTGTTTTATCATGACCAATTTGTTTTCTTTTGTACATGTAGCATTGCAGAAAAGATCCGGATTGCTGGCAGCATGGTCGCTATATTACTTCTCTTCATTCTCACAGCCATTTTAGTGAAAGTTGAAATGGACCGGGACAGCTTCTTTTCCATTAC